AGTGTTCTTCCCTGAGGTTTGGGTCCCTCTGGGTGTCATTTAAGGCACCGTAAAACTCCCCTGTCACAACACCTACTTTTACATTTCTAAAATTCCAAAAACGAGAGCACTGATATCTTCTTTTTTTTGGGGGGGGGGGGGTTTGCCAGAAAACCCAAACAGGGACAGCGACGGGAACTCAATCCAGCCCTCAAAGGGGGTGCATTCTTTTCTTGCTGGCCCTGTGACTCCCAATCGGAGCCAGTTTGGTGTAATGGTTAAGAGCGCGGACTCTAATCTGGGAGAACTAGGTTTGATTCCCCACTCCTCCACATGAAGCCAGCTGGGTGACCTTGGGGCAGTCACAAGTTCTTTCAGAGCCGTTCTACTCAAGGGCAGCTCTCTCAGAGCTCACTCTGCCCCGCCTACCTCACAGGGTGTCTGTTTTGGGAAGGAGAAGGGGAAGGGATTGCAAGCCACTTTGAGACGCCTTTGGGTAGTGAAGGGTGGGGGGTATAAATCCAATCTCTTCTTCTTCTTCTTCTTCAGTTCACTCTATGGTTGCCAGCTCTGGGTTGGCAAATATCTGGAGATTTTTTTTGGGGGGGGTGGAGCCTGAGGAGAGCAGGGTGTGGGGAGGGGAGGGGCTTCAATGGGGAATAATGCCACAGAGCCCGTCTCCCCAAAGCAGCCGTTTTCTCCAGGTGAACTGATCTCTGTTGCCTGGAGATCAGTTGCGATCCCAGGAGATCTCCAGCTGCCCCCTGGAGGCTGGCAACCCTAACTCATGCGTCGGCCAGCAGCTTTACATTGTACACTGTTCCCTCAGCCCAGCAGCTGATTCGTCGTTCAATGATTAAAGGTTTTGCCTGTCATTTCAGTCCTGCGCGTGTCCTTGAAGAGGCAGATCAATAGCGCGTGGTGAATGCATTAGAGGCTTCTCCTCCCCCCCCCCCCCCCTAACATCCGGAAATCACAGCCGCTCCGCTCAGAACCCCTTCATCAAATATGTAGTTGTGCATCTTACCTTCCCCTTGGCTATGACAAAAAAGGTGTTTCCTTCCTCTCCCTCACGAATCACGTAATCCCCTTTGTCATAGTATTCCTGTGGGGCAGAGGGAAGGCATATCGTTAGCGAGTGATTCAGACCCACTCAGGGAACTGAAGTCAAACCATCAGCATTTTCACAGAGTCTTTTCAAGGTGATTATCGGAACTCACAGTAATCCTGCTGCCCAAACCTAAATCTAAAAGGTATCCTACTCTGTCGTCTTAGCACAGGTATATCGGAGTATACACCTTCAAGCGGGGATGATCTTACCTTTCTGTGTTGCGTAATGATTCTCTTGGCTGAAGATTTTCTACACCCAGAGAACAAAACGTCTTGGAGTAGAGCTGAGAAATAGCGCACGTTCTTCTAGGATGCCAGGCCGAAAAGGCAGGGCTGGCTCCAGGTTTTGGGGAGACCTGGGCAACTTCCCCCCAGTGCCCCGGTTTCATGCACATGCACAAAGCCCTTCTTTCTGGAAGTGTTGTACTCAACAGGAGTGTGGAAGTGTTGTACTCAACTTTCTTCAGTGTCACTCCAAACAGGAATTGTGGTTTGGTATAAGCTTTCGTGAGTCTACTGGATTCTTACTCTTTTCTGCTGCTACAGACAGACTAACGCGGCTACCCATCTTGAGCTATCTCCAAACAGGAAATGAGAAACAGCCACAAGGGTTTTTGTGACAGGGCTGCAAATAGGGTTGCCAAGTGGAACTTACCTTGGCAGCAGGGGACTGGGTGGATCCCGGAGCGCACGCCGCACACACGTCACCAGGAAGTGACGTTATGACGCCGGGCACGCTGGGGGCGGGGCCACGACCATACAAGGGAAAACCATAGAGTTTTCCCTTGTATGGCCGTGGCCCCGCCCCCAGCGTGCCCAGTGTGCCCGCGTCACTTCCGGGTGACGCACATGTCAGGGAGGAGTTCCCCCCGGGGCCCAATCCGGCATCGTCGGGAAACGGGCCTCTGGGGCAGGGGTTTCCCCGCCCCCCGGGGGGACTTGGGATCCCTAGCTGCAAAGCCCACAGTGAGGGCGGGGGATATCCTGCCCCTAGGTTCCATTGCCCACTGCAGAAGGAGAAAACCTAAGGGTGAAAAAGCAGCCCTATGTACTTACTGGCAGTTCAAACAGGAAGTGGCAAAGGGTAGGTCTTGGAATCACTGGAAACCCTATGATTTTACCACTGAGTTTCTGATGATTCCTAGAGCTAACTTCCAAAGTAGCTTGAGGAATTGCTGGAAACTCTATAGCAATTCCTAGACCTATCCTTTGTCGTTTCCTGTATGAAATTCCAGTTGGTATTTTTAACATCCTGTGTCCCCGTGCCACCCTCCCACCAGTTGCCAACAGGTATGGGCATGAACTGGCTTATGAGCTAAAGTTTGTGATGAATTCTGGCTGGTTTGTGGATCACAAACTGGCACGAACTTTCCATGAACTTTCAAGTGGTTCGTGGCGGTTCATCAATGGATACGTTTCCAGAGTCTCTGCTCCATCAAAATGCTTATCAAACTTCAAAGCAACAGGGGGAGGGGAATTCTCCAGCCTGTGCATTTGGTGTGTGTAGTTTACCGGGAGTTTATTCTATACACTTCTGAACCTATGCCTGACATTTTCCCCAAAAGTACTCTCCTGGGGGCATCTATTTCTGGGGAGCATACCTCAGACCCCCAAAGTCCAATCTGCACATAACTTGGAGGGCATGTAGAGGAGTATCACAGAGAGGTCCCCTGCAAGTTTGATGTCTCTAGCTTGTACAGGTTCTCTTCTAGACACCTTGAACCTGCACCCGTCATTTCCCCAGAAAGCTCTTTCCTGGGGGCACCTTCTTTGGGGGGCTCAGAACCCATAAATCCAACCCTCACCAAACCTGGAAGGCAGGTAGAGGAGAGCCAGCCAGAGATCTCCTGTGAGTTCAGTGTCTCTAGCATGTGTGTGGGGGGGATTCTACCGCATCACAAACCTCACAAACCAGGCATGACACAAACCACAAACTGAACTGCATTTTCCCAGTTTGTGCCCATCCCAAGTTGCCAGTCACTGCCAGGCAACTCTGCTTCAGGATGATCACCAATTCAGAGGAAGGGCCGACGAACCTAGCACTATTGGCTAGTGCAGGGGTCATTTCCTGCGGAAGCGCACAGGAGCGGAGCTCCGGAAGTAAGGAGCACAGGGGGTGGGCACATGCAACAAGCCCCGCCCCCTGCTCCCAGCAGCCCTCAGCAAGAGGCAGCCAGGTAAGTTGCAGAGCCCCCCCCGGCCCGCCTTCAGGTACAAGCTCTCCCTCCTCTGTGAGGGCAGATCTGCAGTCCAGTGGAGCCTGAGCGGTGGGTATTGCCTTCTGACACACTTTCGGTGATGTCAAGGGGTGTGGCATATGCAAATAAGTTATGCTAATAAGTTATGCTAATAAGCTCCTGCACCTCTTTTTCTACGAAATTACCCCTGGGCTAGTGGGCCCTCTGTTTAGGTAGGGCTGCAAAAGATTTGGCTACCAGTAGAGAAAGCAAGGAGTCAGGCATCCTGCCACTCTGCCCGTAATGCAGGTCTAGAAACTCTTTGCATCAAGCATCTTTTGCCCTCAAGGCAGCGAGGAGACTACAGCTTAACAAGGCTAGAGAGATGAGATATTTTAAAATTAAATGGTGATTTGGTGGTGAGGAGCTGCCCCAACCCGAGCACAGTCACACTCTTCCAAGGGCCAAACTATATGACACCATGTCTTATGAGTCGGGTCTGGGTTTATCATACCCAACTCATTTTCCCCCTATAGCAGCTGTGGGAAACAGCACTTTAAAAATCCGTGGGGGACCAATCCATCCCAGGATCATGATGTGGGGGGAGGGGCTCCTGCCACCCCCCACAAGCCATTTCCCCAAGCCAAAATGGCTGCCATTTTGAAGCTGCACATGCAGTGTTCCTTTATTACTGGCATGTTCTCTACAATCACTCTCTGGTCCTGTATTGGAAGTAGGACGGGACTGGGGGGGGGAACAGGAGGCCGTAGAGCTTTTAAGGGCGTCACGGGTGCCTTTAAATATACTGCAGCCTTGAGGGAAACTGCCAGGGGTTGTCGCTTGTGCAGTCAGGCCAGAAACAATTTCTGCCACACTATTGTTTCAAAGCCGACGTGCTGTTGTAGTTGCATAATTTGCAGGCAGTGGCTCTCTTTAGACTCCCCTGCCAAGAGGAATGAGTGTGTTTGCAGTGGACCAGCCTGGAAGAAATTCAGGGCATTCGGAGCATTAGCTTCATAACACTGCGAGCAAAGCAAAGCAGATATGACTCATTACACTTCAACAAGGAGCAGGAATCTGGCCTAAAATGTTTTGTACACATTTCGAGCTGTGCTCTCTCATCACTAAGTCACCCTGCTACATGCTTATACAGAAATAAATTGCACTGAAATCCACAGCATATTTATGTTTGGGTAAATGGTATTCGTCTCGGTGAGATGACGAGGCCAAATGACTTCCTTTTCCTTAGGAAATGTTTTATTGAAGCGTAAAGTTAGGAGTTTATGTAAGGATTGCATGCATAAATCAATAAGCTCAGATATTACTCTGATTGGCTCTTCACATAAAAAAAGGCTCTTTGTAGGGTTGCCAGCTCTGGGTTGGGAAATTCCTGGAGATTTAGGGGTGGAGCCTAGGGAGGGCGGGGTTTAGGGAGGGGGGGGATCTCAGCAGGGCATTATGGCACCTTCCATAGCAGTCATTTTGTCCAGGGGGATTGATACCTGTCATCCAGAGATCAGTTGTGATTCCGGGAGCTCTCCAGGCCCCACCTGGAGTTTGGAAACTCTGGTCTTTTGACTTAGGTCCTTTCTGCCTTTGCCTGCCACTACAGATTTTCTCAGTGTTCAAGGCAATTTAAGTCCATATCAAAACAGCGTCCAAATAACCCAGGACAACAGCAGGTTGAAACCAGTCTGACCACCAAAGAGAGGCAATGTAATGCAGAATTTGGGGGGAACCCAGAATAATAAGAAGGTTGAACTCGATTTTAGTGCGGAATGGGGGAGGGGGGGGAACCCTGGATTTTAAAAGAAGGTTGAACTTGATTTTAGTGCAGAATTGACACCGTGGTGAACATGGATTAAAAGGAGAGTGCAGAAAGGGCCTTATATTAATAAACATAGAAACAAAACAACAAAAGAACCGTCAGCAGTAAAACAATAGCCCGTATCCAACCACACATTTCCAAACCCTTAAGGGGTCGCAATTTCTGATTCGCCTTCTTACTGTACACCCCCCCATTTTGCCTACTAAGATGTTCCAGAAGGGGGATCCACAGATCCCCTAAAAATAATACTTCAGGGGCTTGGTGAGATGCAGAAAGAGAGGGAAATTAGCAAAAACCGTCACTGCCCCCTTTTCTGCATGGCTGGATACAGGCCAATACATTTCAAATAATATCGGCTAAATTGCAATATCATTATTGCAATCCCCCTGGACAAAATTGCAATCCCCCTGGACAAAAGGACATCAGCTGTAACTGAAGTTGGGAGACGGACACTATTGTCCTAAGCAGAAATGTAATGTAATGGTAATGGTTCCCTTGCTCGAAAGCCAGTCGAATCCGATTCTAGGGTTGCGGTGCTCATCTCCGTTTCCAAGCCGCAGAGCCAGCACTGTCCGAAGACGTTTCCGTGGTCATGTGGCCGGCATGACTAAACACCAAGGCACACGGAATGCTGTTACTTTCCCACCGAGGTGGTCCCTATTTATCTACTTGCAATTTCTTGCTTTCGAACTGCTAGGTTGGCAGGAACTGGAACTAGAGACGGGAGCTCACTCTGTCATGTGGCACACTCGGGTCTCGAACAGCTGAACTACAGACCTTCCACAGCCTGCAGTTCAGCGTCTTAACCACTTGAGCCACTCCCTTCTAATTCCAATTAAATCAATGGGCTTACAGGGTAGTTTCAGGCGGACAGCTACCTAGGGTTACCAACATCCACACGGGACCTGGAGAGCTCTTGGAATTAGAACCGACCTCCAGGTAACAGAGATCAGTTCCCCTGGAGAAAATGGCTGCTTTGGTGGGTTGACTGTATGTCATTCTGTCCTACTGAAGTCCCCCCCCCCGGCTCCACTTCCCAAATCTCCAGGTATTTCCCAACCCAGAGTTGGCATCCTTATGGGGAGAACTTTGACCCTTGAGAACTGATACCCTGGAAACCTTGTTGACCTTTAACAGGGTTGCCAGCTCTGGGTTGGGAAATACCTGGAGATTTTCGGGGTGGAACCTGAGGAGGGGAGGGTTTGGGGTGCGGAGGGACTTCAGTCAGGTACAATGCCATAGAGCCCACATTCCAAAGTGGCCATTTTCTCCACAGGAACTGCTCTCTGACACGTGAACACATGAAAATGCCTTATTGTGAATCAGACCACCAGTCCTTCAAAGTCAGTATTGTCTACTCAGATTGGGGGCAGCTCTCCACACTCTCAGGCTGAGGTCTTTCACATCACCTACCGCCTGATCTATCCTGGAGATGCCGGGGATTGAGCCTGGAACCTTCTGCATGCCGAGCAGATGCTCTGCCACTGAGCCACGGGCCCCTAGAGATCGGCTATAATAGCAGGATACTTCCAGCCACTACCTGGCTTCTTTGATCTGGATACACTAATGAGGCGTGAAATGCATCTTCCACTTCTTAAGAAGACTCTTCCCTCTTGTTGTTGACATTTTTCACACAAGGACTTTTTGGTGAATTTCCTGAACTTATATATAAAAACAGAGATGGTATTTTTTTCTACGAGACTCATTGAAAATTTTCATGGGTATTGCACTGCTCATTTAAAAGATATATACAAATTATAAAACGTATTTGTAATTAATTATCGTTAGTCTGTCACGGTTTAATTTTATTTGACATAGATGGTTCAGTGATTCTTCATTGTTTGGTTTGGAGGCAACCTGAGTCTTTAAGGTGCAACAGGACTCGAATCTTGGGCTTGTTAAGGGTGCAACCCAGCCAGGGCCGGCCCGTTATTCTTAAATTTTAGACTCTCGCCTAGGGCAACAGCTCGACGAGGGCGCCATTCTGGCCAGACTTGTCCCCTCCTCGCCCCACACAGGAAGCCTCTCTTGCCGGCTTCTTCCTCCATCCCCAGCAAGAGACTCCCCTCTTTGCAGCCCCCGAGACAGAAAGAGGAGGCAGGGGGGGCAGGTGCGGGGAACAGCCCGGGACGCCCTCTGCCCCCCCCCCACCCCTGTGGTCTCTTTGGAGCTCCTTTTGCACCCTGGCACAGGCCCCCTCCCCTCGAGTGATCCCACCCACCCCCCCATGCATTTGCAGCTCAGCCTGCCCGCTGTGGCTCCGGCGCCCACCCCCGTTCTGCATGGGGGGGCGCTAGAATGTATCCTCGCCTAGTGGGCGAAAAAACCTGGGGCCGTCACTGAACCCAGCTTCGGAGTGCACGGCAAAGTGTGCAGGAAATTCTGGTGCTTATTTGAAGAACTGGGCCCCATTGTTCTTGTGGCCACTACCCTCGTTGGTTGCCCTTCACAGGAAGTAAAGGAGCTCCTTCCCACTAGCTTCCCAGCAAATATCTTTACTGATAATTGTCACGATGCAGAGAGCTATTTTGGGCACTCCTCAAGGCCTGCACACATGCTCGATTTCTCTGAACAGCCGATCTCTCCCTCCCTCACCGACACACACCAAACGCTGTTGCAGAGTGGCACTCATTCTGTGGCTCGCAGGGACCACGTTCACGGTTGCCATCGACCAAAAGAGCCACGTGACTCTAGGATGCCCTGTGTGGCACCCCACGCTCACCTCAGCATGAATCACAGCAGCTCAGGCTGGACAGTGAGACTCCAGAGGTGCCCAGAGGAAGACGAGGTGGTGGAGGAGAAAGGGGAGTGAAACTGTCACCACCCCACTGTGGCCAGCAGGAACCCCCATGGGGTTCCCAAGGCAAGAGACGAACAGGGGTGGTTTGCCATTGCCTGCTTCTGAGCGGCAGCCTTTGGTGATCCCCCGTCCAAGTGCTAACCCTGCTTAGCTTCTGAGATTTGATGAGACTGAGCTAGCCTGGGCCGTCCAGATCAGGGCTAACCCTTATTACACACCTTAATCTTTTTACTCCCTCTTTTAACACCCCCTCCCCCGCAGTTATTATCCTGCATGTGTCAATGAATCTCACATAATGAGATTCACTGAGGAACAGTTTGGTGTAGCGGTTAGGAGCGCGGACTCTGATCTGGGAGAACCTGGTTTGATTCCCCACTCCTCCACATGCAGCTGCTGGTGTGTCCTTGGGTCAGTCACAAATTCTCTCAAAGCTATTCTCTCAAGAGCAGTCCTCGAAAGAGCTCTCTCAGCCCCACCTACCTCACAGGATTTCTGTTGTGGGGAGGAGAAGGGAAAGGTATTGTAAGCCACTGAGACTCCTTTGGGTAGTGAAGGGCGGGGTATAAATCCAATCTCTTCTTCTTCTTCTTCATAATTAGCAGCAACAACAACAATAATGATGATGATAACAACAGAAGGAGGAGGAGAAGAGGAGGAGGAGGAGACCAGGCACCCTGGGGCAGTGGCTCCCAACATTTTAGTATGATGACCCACTAATCTAAATTTACTTGGTATGGTAACCCATCCAGGGCTTGCCTGAGGATTCTTGGTGCCCTAGGCAAACTGTGACCCTGGCACCCCTCTATTCCATTTTCTACAATGTCCAATGAGAAACCAACAAACGTCACACAAAGGGCGTGACCTGCTCCCCACCAATGTTCCCCCTAAGCTGTGGAGTCTTGTGAGCGAAAATCCTACTTTGTGAGCTACGGGCATTAAAGTTGTGAGCGAGCCATTTGGTTGCTGCACAAATTAGTTTGCTTTGAGGCCATCCTTCCTGAGCTAGAGCAAAAATCTGTGAGCTGGAGGCTAAAAAACTGTGAGCTAGCTCACACCAACTCAGCTTAGAGGGAACACTGCTCCCCACTATGAACCCCAAGCAAGTGAGAGTTCATCTCTGGGCAAGAGCCACCATTAAGGAGGGCTGCCTGTGACCCACTTTCAGAGGCTTTGTGACCTACTTTTGGGTCCCAGCCCACAGGTTGGGAGACACTGCCCTGGGGACCATGTTCCAAGTGTGTCCCGAGGCAGACTACTGAAAGCAGGTCTAGATGCTGAGAGAGACAGAGACAGAGATTCTCCCCCGGCAGTCCAGAGCCACCTGCCTACTGTCACAGTCCTACGCAGATCAGCACACAACATATTAAGGGAGGGGGGAGTAGGAAGGATGGAAATCTGGATAACTATTTCACCCATAACAGGTCTCTTCCCCCTCCCTGTGACCTCCCTGAACTTTGCCAACGGGACAGCCAGACGCCAGAACGACGAAGAAAAATGAATATTAACAAATGCGAACGGATGTCATTGGTTTGTTCCCCGTTTGTTTGGGGAATAACAATAACGAATGAGGCCTTTTCATTGAGGTTTCCCTTCCCCCCTCCTCATTTCATTCGCTAACAAAGGGAGGCTCACCCCTAACACATGGCAGGTCGCAGATTGCGCCGTAAAACGGTTTCGCCGAATTTGGCACCCGCGATGAACTCTCTAATAACCTGGCTCCAGATTTACCACAAGGCAGCTGAGACTTGGAGCGGCCTTAAAATACACAGGCTTGGAACCAGTGGAGGAGGAAAGACAGCTTCCATCAGTTGGTTGAGGACAGCGACAGGAGAGCAAGTAGTCTGGCGTTCACAGGTCTCCTCCTCCACCTCAATTGCCCTCAGGAGGCTATGGGGGGGGGGGGTTGCAATTTTTGTCAAAGTTTCTCAGCAACGGGGAATAGTCTGTTTTTATTTACTGCTTTGTGCTGTATCTTATTATTGGTCTTAATTAGATTATTTATTGTTCTACTTTGTTGCAAGCCGCCCTGAGTCCTGCTTGCAGGGAAGGGCGGCCTAGAAGTCTAAATAAATAAATAAATAAATACCCCCCCTTACTGCAGACCTCTATTTTTTAAAATAATTTTATTGTATCCAAATATTGTTATTACATTACAGTTTAGTTTCAAATTTTTGATACCTCTTTTCCCCTATTTTATCCCTCCCCCCCCCCAAGGTGGCCACCATCATGTTATTCACATTACATTTTCAACCACGAGCACATTCTTTCCAACTTTTCAAATATACTCCTGTTGGCTTCCCCTTTATAAACCCATTCAAAGTATACTGACCATTTCTTTTTTATCTCCTTCATTTTTACAGTCCATATCTTATCTTGCTTTAAACATTCCAATATGTCCGATTGTATATATTCGTATAAATATTCGTTCCATTTTTCTAAAGTCCATTTTGAGTTCTCCTTCCAACCATATGCAATCACCGCATGTGCTGATAATAACATTACTTTGAAGATATCCTGATTTTGTTTCTCAATTCTTCTTACTGCAGACCTCTAGCTCTGCCAATGTGCTGCTCCTGGGAGGGGGCTCCCCCGTACCTCCGGAGTAGTATTTCTGAGAGCATTCTAAGTCACTGCAGGGGAGGGGAGGTCGGAAATTCGCAGTCCATTGATGGAAATCTTCCATCACCAGAAATTACTACTTGAGGAGGAGCTCAGAGGTAGAGTACCTGCTCAGCATGCAGAAGGTCCCAGGTTCAATCCCCGGCATCTCCAGGTCAAAAAGGAACAGGCAGTAGATGGTATGAAAGACCTTCACTGGAGAGCCGCTGCCAGTCTGAGTAGACAATACTGACCTTGACAGACCAAAGGTCTGATTCAGTATAAGGCAGCTTCATGTGTGGTTTCCAGTTAGATTTGAGTCCACTGGCACCGTAGAGACCCGACTATTGCAGTGAACCGGGAATAAAAAGACTTTGCCCAAACGATTCAAATATGATCAAAGAAAGCTTTTTCGTATAATTGTGCAGCTGGTTATAAATATATATATATACTTACCACTTCCAAGCAGTCTATGATCTTGGTCAACTTCTCTTCGGGCAAATTCTTCAGCAAAGACACACTTGGGGGGGAAAAAGTGAGATGCATTTAGTTCCGCTTGTGTGCAGCTTTCCAGCTGCTTTATGGAACACCTTAGTCACACATGGGATTATTACATTATTTGGTTATTGCTTATCACCGCCATGATAAAGAATGCTGAGTCAGAGAAATCTACAGAAAACATCAATCGATCTTTGATGTGCTGCTAAGCGGTGATGCCAATGAGTAGATATGGTCAGGTGAAGGCTACCAAGTCGGATTGCCGACTCCCAACTCAAGCAGTTATAGCCAATACTCCTTCTAAGCTGTGGAGTCTTGTGAGCAAAAACTCTACTGGGTGAGCTACTGGCATTAAAGTTGTGAGCCAGCGATTTGGCTACTGCATAAATTAGTTTGCTCTGGAGCAATGTTCCCTCTAAGCTGTGGAGTCTTGTGAGCAAAAATTCTATTTTGTGAGCTACCGGCATCAAAGTTGTGAGCAAGTAATTTGGCTGCTGCATCGATCAGTTTGCTCTGGAGCCCTCCTTCCTGAGTTGAGACAAAAATGTGTGAGCCGGAGGCTAAAAAACTGTGAGCTAGCTCACACTAACTCAGCTTAGAGGGAACACTGCTCTGGAGCCATCCTTCCCGAGCTAAGACACAAATGTGTGAGCCAGGGGCTAAAAAACTGTGAGCTAGCTCATACTGACTCATCTTAAAGGAAACACTGGTTATAGCCATAAAGAAACACAGGCTTTCCCCTCCTCAAAACCCTATACTTTTAGGCACAAATTTCTTTGTCGTTTGAGCAAGGCTTGGCACTACTGAAGTTACAGAAACATAATATTTTCTGCTTGATTTAAATAGCCTCTTTCTTTGCAAAGGAAAAGATAAGAGAGCGTCAGAGCAGGTATGGTAAAATGGGTACGATTAAAGGGAAAAGGGCAGAGCTACAAGACAAAAAACAAGCCTATTTGGAAGATGTATTTTCCTTCCCTCCAGCTTCTACCGCTGTTTCCATTACCTTGCTTGTGTTGTTCTTTTTTTTCCATACTAAATATAGACATACATTTGAGGTCAATGCAAGTACAAGAGAGCCCTGCACATGCTTGGTCCATAATCAGGGACTTATTAAGGGGCTACTGCTAGAGCAACAGGTAGCTTGCAATTACGAGCTTTAAAACACACACACACACACACACACACACACACATACACACACACACACACACAGAAGGAAGCAGTCAATTAATTTAGTTAAGGCAAAACAGGTGCAAAGTTTCAGCTATTTAGGTATTGGAAGAAACACGTGGCTGCAGCAGGGATGATATCAACTCGTCTATTTTCTATCCAGCCTCTTTTCCATTGTGAAACTTAAGGCGGCATGCACAGGACTCCCTCGTAGTCTCCTATTCAGGCTCTCACCAAATCCAGTCCTGTTTAGCCATTCTTAATCGCCTGATGTAGGGTTCCCAAGTACCTACCTACGAACTGGCAGGGGACACATGCTTCCCCGCTGTAAAATTCTTGCTTGTAACACAGGCGCTACACTATTCAGTCGCCCAGACGTGACGTAGGCACGTAGCTGGGCGACGCTCTGGTAATGGAGCTGGAAACTCGATGGTACCATCGAGTTTCCAGCCCCATTGCTAGAGCATTGCCTGGCTACATGCCTACGTCATGTCTGGGCGACGGAATAGTGCAGCGCCTGTGTTTTCCCCGCAGGAATGGTCCCACGAAGAACTACATATCCCCCGCCGAATCAAGGTAAGTATTAGGAGCCCTGGCCTGATAGCACCTGGGTTTGGGCCACTGTGTGACACAGAGTGTTGGACTGGATGATCCAATATGGCTTCTCTTATGTTCTTAATTTCTTGGGAAATCCAGTTATGATGACTGTTAAAAATGCTGCACTGGTTCCAAAAAGGAATAGGGCACATGCAAGAGTGGGGGTAAGGCTGCCAGGCCTGGGCTGGGAAATACCTGAAGATTTGGGGGATGGAGGCTTGGGAGGGTGGGGTTTGGGGAGGGGTTGGGCTTCAGCAGGATATAATGCCACAGAGTCCACCCTTCAAAGCGACCATTTTCTCCAAAGGAACTGATCCTGCTCATCTGGAGATAAACTGTGACAGCGGGAGATCTACCAGCCGTGCCATAGTTTCTGCTCAGCTCAAGTTGATGGGTTCAGGCTCACCTATTGCCGGCCCACTTGGCTCAGTTCACGCATGACTGTCAGGATTTTCCCAGGAAGTTTAACAGCCAAACCACCTTGGGTTGCCAGGCTCAGCAGAAAAACTGGGGAACTGGGACATGAAGGGGACATGACATCGCCAGTGTCACTGCATCAGTTCCGGGTGTGACCCGGAAGTGACAATGGGTAGCTCTAGGAATTGCTGGAAACTCTATGGCATCAATCAGTGGGATGCCTGGCAACCCTACCCTTGCCATGCTATATCCTTCTCTGTTCCAGTGGGTACCCTAAATCTCAGGACCAGATTTTCAGAAAGCGCAAGAAGCTGCAGGAGGAAAGACAGAGAAAGAGAGAGAGAGAGATCTGTTCCATGAACTCATTCTGTTCACAGTTCATTGGATCCAACCCAATGCTTTTGATATAATTAGATGAGAAATATGAGAATATACGAAAAATGAACATGGCTGTGACAGAACTGTACATACGGTGCATCAACTTCATTACTGTCTGTTACATTAAGACCCGAGAAAGAGAGAGACCATGAGAATTTATTAGGAAACCATCCTACTTCATTCAGCCACCCAGACAATGTATTATCTCCTTGCTGTTCTAAATGTTTTTTTGAAGGGGGGGTTGTAGCTGGTGGATCAACATGATTTGCTAAAGCAGCTGGGAAACGAAAGAAGAGGATGACGAGGGGCATCTGCCATTCAACCTCTATGACCGTATTAGGCTTTTAATGAACTTTTTAATGTACTGCTCTTAATCTTTTGCCCTTTGCTTGTGAGGATTTTGCAACAACCTTTGCCATGATTGATGCAAAACAAACTGAACCCAAGGAACTCTTTAAGAAAGCATCTAAATTAAACAGGGACATAAAACACCATTCCAGCGTTGGATCTCTGCTAAGTGGCAGACTGATACCACGAATGAGCTTCCAGATGCTCTGTAAGAATTATCTGCCACTTGAAGGTATTATTAAACCATACTGCATGCTTACCTTCTAAGGAAGTTTCTGTATTGTTCGTGTCTTGTTTGGGCTGTCCTCCTCATAATGTTCTGGAAAACTTCTCTGTCTAACGCCCATGTTTTCACACTGGTGACAGCTTTAAAAGACAGGAAAACATTTATTTTTTAAAAGGTGGACAGTTTGATAGCACTCGACAGCTTTCCAGCTATACCCAATAAAAATCCAGTCAGATAAACATGTCCACTGGAGGTTCTACAAGGATGCACTCACGCTAGTTCGGTATCACCTTCTTTTACAGAAGGAAATGCCGCTTCAAGGGTTGCTACCAGCTTCACAACTTACTCATGATGTTATATGCTTTTTATATTTGGTACCAGTTGTCGATAAATACAAAATTAATTATCAATGGCGCTGCAGGGTGAAGATCCAGCAAACAGTTCTGAGAATTACTGAGGGACAGAAATAAAGGCGGGAAAATGTTTTGGACTCCATCTTGAACACGGAATCCTTCACAATTCCTTTCCTGAGAGGGGAGGAGAATAGTAGCCCCTTGCATTCTCACAGGAAATATTCTCTGTGCACTGTTACAGTGTCATGCTAAGGAGATACACAACCTTCTATGCCTTCAATGAACGAAGAAGAAGAGGAGGAGGAGGAGGAGGAGGAGACTGGATTTATACCCTGCCCTTCACTCGGAGTCAGAGCAGCTCACAATCTCCTTCCCTTCCCCTCCCCACAACAGACACCCTGTGAGGTAGGTGAGGCTGGAGAGAGCTCTTTCACGGACTGCTCCTGAGAGAACAGCTCTGAAAGAACTTGTGACTGACCCAAAGTCACGCCAGCAGCTGCGTGTGGAAGAGTGGGGAATCAAACCCGGTTCTCCCAGATAAGAGTCCGCACTCTTAACCACTACACCAAATTGGCTAAGTGCTTAGGATGACACTATGATTGACAATCAAGGTTACTGGTGGTGGCGGTCAAGTCTCAGCTGACTGATGGTGACCCCATAGGATGTTCAAGGCAAAAGGGTGTTCAGAGGTGGCTTGCCATTGCCTGCCTCCGTGTAGCAACCCTGGACTTCCCTGGTGGTCTCCCATCCAGGGCTGACCCTGCTTAGCTGCTGAGATCCAACAAGATGAGGCTAGCCCGGTCCATACAGGTCATGGATCAAGGTAACTAGGGAAGGTTAAAGTGTTGTACTCGGATAAGCTAAACCCAAGCCCCCTTCCCAGTAACATCTAGGACCACTCTCCGAGACAGACCTACAGTGCCCCATGTGTTCGTGAAGGGCTGCCCCCGCTGGGAGCCCATTTACCCAGAAGTAAATCTCTGAACTTGCTGGGATCTGACAACATTTGAGCTGTGCTGAGGGTATTAAGCAGTGACAAAGGCTACAAATTAATATGCACCGAAAACAGCTCAGACCTGACCGGGAGCTATAACTAGCAGACAAGCCAGGAGCATTCAGTGAGAGCAGAGAGGAAAAAAGAAGAAGAAATCGGTTACTGCAGATAAACTAATCTGCGTGGCATTGCCTCTTGCATGAGAATAGCAGAAATCATTCCGTTCTGCCTTTCTGAACGTGAATGGCACCTGCCTGGCATTCAGAGCTCCTCTCCAAGGCTACATTTCTACTGGTGAATCAGGCACCTAGGCCTGATACAAAGGGAGAGAGTGACAAGAGCATAGTTATATCAACAGCTTGGATCCCAACCTCCAATTCCTGGAGATTTGGGGGTGGAGCCTGGGAAAGGTAGCGTTTAGGCAGGGGAGACAGATCATCAGAGATGTTAGATTCAAGTCCAGTAGCATGTTAGAGACCAACGTTAAGGTTTCAAGAGTCAAAGTTCCCTTCGTCAGTCTGGTGTAGTGGCTAGGAGCGTGTACTCTAATTCGGGAGAACCGGGCTTGATTCCCCACTTCTCCACATGCAGGCTCTGGTGTGACCTTGGGTCAGTCATAAGTTCTCTCAGAGCTGTTCTCTCAAGGGCAGTTCTTGAGAGAGCTCTCTCAGCCCCACCTCCCTCACAGGGTGTCTGATGTGGGGAGGGAAAGGAGATTGTAAACCACTCTGAGACTCCTTTGGGTAGTGAAGGGCGGGGTATAAATCCAATCTCTTCTTCTTTTACCTCACAGGGTGTCTGCTGTGGGGAGGGGAAGGGAAAGGAGTTTGTAAGCCGCTCTGAGACTCCTTTGGGTAGTGAAGGGCGGGGTATAAATCCAATCTCTTCTTCTTCTTCTTTTACCTCACAGGGTGTCTGTTGTGGGGAGGGGAATGGAAAGGAGTTTGTAAGCCGCTCTGAGACTCCTTTGGGTAGTGAAGGGCAGGGTATAAATCCAATCTCTTCTTCTTCTTCTTCTTTTACCTCACAGGGTGTCTGTTGTGGGGAGGGGAAGGGAAAGGAGATTGTAAGCCACTCTGAGACTCCTTTGGGTAGTGAAGGGCAGGGTATAAATCCAATCTCTTCTTCTTCTTTTCCTCCTCCTCCTCTGTGGGATCCAACCAGAGCTTTGACTTGCAAAACCTTACACCCAGGAAATCTTGATCTCTAAAGTGCTACTGGACTCATGTCTAGCTGTTCTACTGAGGACCAAGAGGGCTACCCTCTGAAACCAGCAGAGATGTGATGCCACAGAGTTCAGCATCTATGGCTGCCATTTTCTTCAGAGGAACAATTCTCCGTAGTCTGGAGATCAGTTGCAGTTCTGGGAGATCTCCAGGCCCCACCTGGAGGCTCAACAACAAGCACACAGGGAACACGGCTAAGTTAGATAAACACAGAAAACACCGTGTTGAAGTAATAAACACAATATTCACATGCACTTATAGCTCAATACATTTGCTTTATAGACACAACGTCAACTCTTAGTGTATTGTAAACACTTTCAAACTGCAACATCACATTTCAAACACTTTCAAACTAAGTTATATCACACGAAGAGTCCAACTGTCTTCTTCCTGATGGAGGATAAATACCCATGTACAGTTATTTGCACCGAACAACGCAGCAACCTATTGTACATTTCCCAAGTGACGATCCATCAGGTAGACCTGCTTGCTAGCTGAACCACCTCATGGGAAAATACATCTACTAGGCTTGCTTGCTAAGCTGAATCATCACAGTGAGAAATGCAAGCTGCCTGTTAGCTTTACCTGATGGATCATCACATGGGAAATGTACAATAGGTTGCTGCATTGTTCGGTACAAATAACTGTACATGGCTATTTATCCTCCATCAGGAAGAAGACAGTTGGATTCTTCATGTTATATAACTTAGTTTGAAAGTGTTTGAAATGTGATGTTGTAGTTTGAAAGTGTTTACAATACACTAAGAGTTGATGCTGTGTATATAAAGCAAATATATTTAGCTATAAGTGCATGTGAATATTGTGTTTATTATTTCAACACAGTGTTTTCTGTGTTTATCCAACCTGGAGGCTGGAAACCCCAATCCCCCCCAGTTTTTCCACTGATGTAAGGTATTTCCACCCACAAAGTGGGGCTCTCTTGTCTCCTCCCTCCCACTGGAGTCTACAAGACTCCACTAGATGCAGCTCCTGGTTCTCCTGGCTTTACAGTATTTTGGTCATCGTGCACACCTTTCACGGAGGCTGTCCTGGTGCAATTGTATAAAATTGCCAGCTCGCCGAATGCTGTCCACACAGGAATGGATGAGAGCAACTTGTTCTGCTGAAAGACCTCCAATCTGCCCTCTGTGAAAAGGCAACAAGAAATAATTCAATATGCTTCTCAGTTATACTCATATTATAATAACATGTCTATGTACCATTATTGCAGCCGAAGTATGGAGACCCCAGCAAGGGGCTTTTGAGGAAAGTGAGAAGCAGAGGTGGTTGGTCGTGGCTTTCCTCTGCAGAATTGTCCTTTTTGTCTCCCAAGTACCAGCTCTGCTCAGCTTCCAAGAGCTGATGAGATCAGTTTATATCACGCTGCCTTCCCTCCCCACATTATAATGAAATACATATATATGTCATCTTGTCTCTCCGCTGCAGAGAAGCAAATAAATGTCTGTTTTTCAACAAAAGAAGGTAGATCAGTTACAAACAACACTTAGCGTATAAAGCCCATCAAATCTCTGCCTTTTGTGCATAATCTCTCTCTTTATCAACTGATTTATAAACAATGTCAGTCATCCAGAGGTCTTTCTTTTACATTTTTGAAATGCTCAGGGTTTTTAAAGAACATAAATTATTTTTTTTATCACAAGCAAAGGTGGTTTCACAAATGCGTCTCCCTGCCCATGGTGCAAAGCATGATGCTCCAGACGTTTCATCAGTGTGCTGCAATGTGTTGTAACAAAAATGCATAGAGTGGGAGTGTTAATAAAGTCTAAAAACAATCTGTGATGCACCGTGGAACAGATCAGCACAGAATCAGTAATACGAAAGTTCAGCTTCCAAATGCCTGGCTGAACGGGTGTGCTTTGCATAACTTCCAAAATCCTAGTAAAAATTCAGTTTATGTGCAACCCTTGATAAGGTATGCCATAGTATGAGTGGCATCACAGCATTGTAATCCATAGGGTTGCCAGCTCTGGGTTGGGAAATACCTGGAGATTTGGGGTATGGAACCTGGGGAGGGACCTCAGCAGGGTATAATGCCACGGGGTCCACCCTCCAAAGCAGCCATTTTCTCCAGGGGAACTGATCTTGACCATCTAAAGATCAACAATAATAGTGGGAGATCTCCAGGTGCTCCTTGGAGCGTAGCAGCTCTAGCAATTGTTTTGCCCTCTTCTGGGCATAGAGCAGGGGTCACTGGGGGCAGGGGGGTATTTGTGAACTTCCTGCATTGTGCAGGGGGGGGGCTGGACTAGATGACCCTGGAGATCCCTTCCAACTCTACAATTCTTTCCTTCCTTGGGGAAGGAAGGTTTTGCAAGCTAAACAAAATAGGTTTATGATGCATAGGCCATGCAATCCTTGGACAAATGCCCTGTCATTATATATGTTTCATTAGCCGCTAGACGAGAAGGCTAGAACAGTGGGTCACTGTTGCTATTATTATGAGTGCACTGAGAAGGCTGAGACAACTCTTATTTTTGATGTTAATTGTTTGTTTGAGACTGCTACTATTAGGAAGTGGTTTGTTGATATGGTACTGTTTGTTGTGACTGTATCAAAACTTCATTGTATGTTGTTATTTTGAAATAAAATTTTAAAAAAACAACAACTCTACAATTCTATGAGTCTATGAATTCATCTGTTTACTGCTCTAACCGATTTCTAGGGCCTTCCCCCCCCCCAACACAATCAGTGGTGGGAGGGGGGAAGGGATCATGCGAAAGAAAGAAGACTGTCATTTTCCCATAACATCCCACACAGAGAGAGAGAGAGAGACAGACAGACAGAGAGAGAGAGAGAGAGAGAGAGAGAGAGAGAGAGAGAGAGGTGAGATAATATTATATCTAGTACATCTCCAATGTTTCTGTATCTAGTACATCTTCAATTGATTACATAGCCCACAGCTCAAAGCTCTCTTATATGAGCATTAAACTCAATTCTCCAGATGCCCAACAATAAAAAATCATGATCTCTCTATGAAGATTCTGCTTAGGACAATTTTTACTGTATGGTTATAGCCACTGAAATATCAATTTCATTACTCTTAGCAGCGCTGTACCCTTTCGTAGAGTAGAAGTTTTATTTCTGGCTTGCAACTATACATGAAATTTTAAGAGCGAAAGATCTATAAATAAGGCAGTTAAGTATCTTTACTGCAAATGTCTCTTCCAGCAAAACGATTTGATTCGTTCACAGCTCGGGTTGCCAACCCCCAGGTGGTGGCTGGAAATCTCCTGGGATTACAATTGATCTCCAATCAACAGAGATCAGTTCACCTTGAGATTCAGAAGGTGGATTCTATGGCATTAAACCCCATTGAAGCCCCTCCCGCTCCCCAAACCCCGCCCTCCTCAGACTTCACCCCCCAAATCTCCAGATATTTCCCAACCCGAAGCTGGTAACACTATTCACAGGACATGTGAAACAGTCACTGCAGCATTGTGGTTAAGTGCACGGTCTCTAATTTGGGAGAACCGGGTTTGATTCCCCACTCCTCCACTTGCAGCTGCTGGTTGACCTTGGGCAAGCCATAGTTCTGGCACAGCTCTTCTTGAAAAGGAGCAGTTTCTGTCAGAGCTCTCTCAGCCCCACCTACCTCACAGGGTGTCTGCTGTGGGGAGGGGAAGGGAAAGGAGTTTGTAAGCCGCTCTGCGACTCCTTTGGGTAGTGAAGGGCGGGGTATAAATCCAATCTCTTCTTCTTCTTCTTCTTTTACCTCACAGGGTGTCTGTGGTGGGGAGGGGAAGGGAAAGGAGTTTGTAAGCCGCTCTGCGACTCCTTTGGGTAGTGAAGGGCGGGGTATAAATCCAATCTCTTCTTCTTCTTCTTCTTCTTCACTGGATAGAGTCAGCAGAAATTTAAGATGCTTTTTTAAAGAAAGGATCACTTTGCCATTAATACCAAATTTGAGAGAGTCACCCCTCCATGTTGGTATTGATTTCAGTGGCTTAATTAAGAGAAGCCTAATAAGACTATTGACTTTTCCCAAGACTGATGCAGCGTAAACAGACTGACAAACTCAATGGGGTTGTTTGTTTAAACTAGACTTTCCAACCTTCAGGCAGAGCCCGGAGATCTCTCAGAATCACAATTGATCTCCAGGCTGCAGAGGTTAATCCCCCTGGAGAAAATGGCTGCTTTGGAGGGGGGACTCTGTGCCATTACATCCCTGCTTAGCAATCTCCACTCCCCAAACTCTGTCCTTAAAACTCCAGGATCTTCCCCACCTGGAGTTAGTAACTTTATTTTAAACAAATATCTGTTCACCTATAAAGCTCGTAGGGGTGGTGGTCTGATTTTAACATCAGAAGGAGTGTGCGGCTGAGGGGAGTTTGAACCCTCTGGCATCTTCTGTCATGGGGTAATGAACCAAACTGTGGTTTCTCCCAGCCTAGCTCCCTTTCAGTATCACAGCAGGACTGGATTTTTTTTAAAAAAAGAAAAAGGGCCATCTGCTGACCAATGTTGGGAGATCAAGAAGGCACCCTTTGTGGAGAAACAACTGAACATTTACCACACGTATACAAAAAGGGTAAGTAATAGCAGGATATCTGAAAGGATAAGGCTTAGAAAGAAGATATGGTTAAGTTATGAGGTAAACATGGGGCAATTTCTCTTCCAGAAGTGACTTTCAAGCAGGGTTGCCGATTGATGCTGATGCTCGCCGCTGTCCAAAGCGGCGGTGGAAAAAAAATATTTTAAAAAACCCTCAAGTGTCCTTTGTGCCTGTAGATCACTTCCGGATACAACCCAGAAGTGACGATAGCGCTAAGAATGGCTGGAAACTGTGGTTGTACCTGGTAGTGACGTCAGAGGCATTGCTCATGTCACATGTCTAAGGTTGCCAGCTCTGGGGGAGGAAATACCTGGGAATGTTGGGGGGTGGAGTCTGGGGAGTGTAGGGTTTGGGGAGGGGAAGGATCTCGGGAGGGCATAATGCCATAGAGCCCACTGTCCAAAGCAGCCATTGTCTCCAGGGAACTAACTTCTGTCATCTGGAGATCAATTGTAATAGTGGGAGATCTCCAGGCCCCAACAGGAGCTTGGCAACCCCACATGTCCCCACGTCCCCCCTCCCCCAACTTCCCAACACGCCTGCTAGTTGCCAGGTTCGACTTGGCAACCCTGTATTCAAGGCTATGAAAGACATGGGCTTTGGGGCAGCCTGCCAAGCAGTGTAGCTTCTTCACAGCTCCCTTCACCTATATGTCACTCTAAGACGCTAAAATCTCCCTCTCCCACTCATGCATATTTTATAGATGCAGAGGGGTAGCCATGTGGGTCTGTTGCATCCAAACTGAACAGGCGCTAGATGTATCTGGAAAAGTAAGCTCTGACTCATGAATACCATGCTTGAATGAACTTTGTTCATCTCTGAGGTGCCAGGGAACTCCTGTTTTGTGTAACTTCATATGATTCAAGCACACACAATTCAAAAACATGGCGGAGGCTGTCACAGCTAGCCTGGCTCATGGAAATGCAGATTAGGGGAGCAAAAGCAATGCAGAAAACGTCACTGAAAGCCATATAATTTCCTCATCACTGGTGAAGACACACAAGGTATGGCTCAAAAGCTTCACATTCACTGTTGCCAACCTCCCTGTTGGCCTTGGAGCTCTCCCAGAATTACAACTGATTCCCAGTCTATAGAGATGGAGGATGGACTCCATCGCATCGCATCCCGGATGGACTCCATCCCTTCTTCAGTGTCCGTCCTCCCTAGGTTCTGCCCCCAAATCTCCAGGAATTTCCCAACCCGGACTGGACAATCCCGTTTATATAGCCTTTGCAACCTAAGAACATAAGGATTGATGTGTTAGGATAGGCCAATGATTCAATGGGATGCAGCGCTTAGAGCAGAGGTGTCGAACTCATTCGCTATGAAGGCCAGATCTGACATAGATGACACTTTGCCGGGCCGGGCCATGTGTGTCATAAAATGTAATGCCGGGTACTGGAGATATAAACTGTATAAAGGACAGCAGCTGGTATGCTCCAAGTGGGTGTATCCTCACTGCAAGGCCCCATGGGCTGGGAGGGGGGTGCAAGGGAAAACCCATATGGGCAGACTGGGGAACAGTCTACTGTTCCCTCCGTTGCACTAGTTGCTTGCAGGCTGCATAAGAGCCCTGGACAGGCCGGTTCTGGCCCCGGGGCCTTATTTTTGACACCCCTGGCTTAGAGCACTGGACTAGGATCAGGAAGACCTGGGTTCAAATCCCTACTTTTTCATGAAGCTCGCTGGTTGGTCTTGTGCTAGTCACTCTCAGGTTCACCTACCTCAAAGGTTTGTTGTGAGGATAAAATGGGGGGGGGGACAACTGTATATACTACCCTGAGCTCTATAAACGGCAAGATAAACATGTCTTAGATCTAGCCTAGCACTGTGTCTCCAACACTGGGGGAACAGATGTCCAGCAAAAATCTCATAGGCCAATATCTATCTCTTGTTGTTTGCCCCAAGCAGGTGTGGGGTATAAAGGAAGAGATAACTGTCCCCATCCTGTATTGCTTACAAGCAAAGAGTCTTGCTGAACTTCTAAGAAACGTTATCTACAATAGAAAGAAATGATAACCATAACATAAAGTTGTGCAGACAAAGAAAGAAAGTGGTTAAATTTCATGCTTTCACTTATGGTGACCCCAGCAAGGGGCTTTCAGGGCAGGTGAGAAGCAGATGTGGTTTCCCATGGCCTTCCTCTGCAGAGTCTTCCTTGGCAGCCTCCCATCCAAACACTGACCCGTCTTAGCTTCCAAGATCCGACGAGACTGGGCTGTACCATGCCACATTTCCCTCCCTGATTGCTAAATGGAATCTCCATATTCAGAAATCGTATGCCTGTTGCTAGGGGGCAAGTGGCATGGGAGGCCTACATTTCTTCGTGGTTGGCAAGGATGACCAGGTGGGGGCAGGGTATCCCCATACAAACACCAGAAGTTATGTCATTATGTCGCCTGCGATGCAGGACACTCTGGTATTCAGGTAAAAACTCTGTGGTAAAAATGTGTCTACCATAAAGTTTTTGCCCAAATACCAGAGTGTCCCATCTCACTGGTGATGTTGCTGTGATGCAAGCCTAGGCCTTCCCCTGCTGCCGGTAAGTTCCCCCCCGCCCACTCCCCACCAGTTGCCAGGAGGGAGCTAGCAATACTATGGTGGGCTCTCTGGATGCATCTGGCAACCCACAGTCTAGTACATCCATGGTATAGGAGAACAGATGGATCTTCGACCTGATCTAGGGGGCTGCTCTTACATTCTTAGACTCAGATATAAAATTTCAGGAGTTAGCCACACGGTTCCCAAAAGTAATGATTTAAACAGTTACTGACCTGCCAGTACAAATATATGGTTGCCAGCCTCTCCTTGTTTGATTATGTAGCTCCCCTGCTGGTACGTCCTCCCGTACATACATTCTACCATATCTCTGATCTGTTGCAGATCCAGTCTCTTCAGAAATTGGTTCCTGGTCAGGGCATCTGTGATAAGCTTTTTCTCACTGTTATTATGCAAGCCACAAAACGGCAAACAGAGAAAGGGAGGGGGGGAGGCAGAAAAATCAGATTCATTGGTAGCGCATAAACGAAGTATATTATGTACAATATATTCCTCCATCGTCGTATTCATGGTCTAGTGCCCACAGAGGTAATTTACCTTCTTTCAGTCACAGCCTAAAAAATGTTTAGCGTGGCTTTCTCTCTCTCTCTCGCTCTCACCATCAGCTGCAATTGCACACTGGCCAACCGCAAAGATTCTCAAACGGTCTTCTGGGAGAATTCTAGAGGTTCATCAGAGATCCCACAATAGTAACAATGGCAGGCAAACCTTCACACAAGACACCACAACTGATCTTCCCTGGGGCTTTTTTTGTTGTTCAGTCGCACAGTCGAGTCTGACTCTTCGCGACCCAATGGACAAGATCACGCCAGGCCCTCCTGTCTTCCGCCGTCCTCTGAAGTTTGCTCAATTTCATGTTCGTTGCATCGATGACACTGTCTAACCATCTCATCCTTTGCCGTCCCCGTCTTCTTTGACCTTCAATATTTCCCAGTATCAGTGCTAAATGAGTGCGGTCCGATGTTCTCTATTCAAACTGTGGCCCAATCTGCGTCTAGCATTTGCTCCGCTGTTTTACCAAACCCACACTGGAACAGAAAAAGATGCGGCTCAAAACCACATTCAAATACTCCAAGCCAGCACCGTACTGACTGCAGGGTCACCCCGGAATGGCCATAAAATGGCCATAAATCTATGCAGATGGCTACCATAAAACCGAGAGATCATACAAAGTGTAAACGGCATGCAGTCTCGATGCTGCCATAAAATCCAACAGTCAACCAAAGTGAAAGTGCCATGCAACGTACAGGGGAATTTCTGTTCCAGTGGTGGGTTTGGTAAAACAGCGGAGCAAATGCTAGATGCAGATTGGGCTATGTCAGTGGTGGGCAAACTCATTAGTCAAGAGAGCCAAATATCAACAGTACAACGATTGAAATTTATTTTGAGAGCCAATTTTTTAAAACTTAAACTATATAGGTAGGTACATTGTTATTAATTTAATTAGGGTACTCCTAAACTGGCCTTTGCTAAAAATGTCCTCAGTCTGATTGAGGTACGTTCGCTGAGGTCGACCCCTTCCAACTCTCCCATCCACACTCGTCTTTTGTATACTTGTTTCGTCTCCTTTCGTTCATCCTCTCTATATGTCCAAAGTATCCATAAAATTAAATCATGACAATGATTGACAAACACTAATGTGAACAATGGCCTTGCATCTCCTTGGAAAGTTTGGGTAAGTCAGATTTGTATGTTATTGTTTTTAATTTTAGGCACACACTAGAGAGCATCAATATGTATGGCCTCGCTGGACCAGATTCAAGGTTCTTAGCTAGCAGCTAGCATTCTGTTCCCAACTGCAGCCTTCCAGAGGCCTCTGGAAGCTCAAAGAGCTGTTTGCCCTCCCCCATTCTCTCAACAGCATTTCATATTAAGAGGTTCAGTGTCCCTGAAAGCAAGCTTGATTAAGTTTACAATATATTTCATCTCTACGGGTTCCCCCCAAAAAAACTTCCCACCCACATCTTGTGGCAGTGGCTTTCACAAGTTAATTGGGGGGGGGCAGTTTTCAGAGGCCCGCAACAGTCATCCTTCCTAATCCGCTCAGCTATTTCAAGCACGCAACACCGAAAGCAGAGTCGACAAAAAGTGGCCACTCAAAGTTCCCTCTAAGCTGAGTTAGTGTGGGCTAGCTCACAGTTTTTTAGCCTCCGGCTCACACATTTTTGTCTTCGCTCAGGAAGGATGGCTCCAGAGCAAACTCATTTA